GATTCAATGACCCATTCATAAACATCAACATCTGTCTCATTCTTGAATGAATCAACCGTTTGAACGAATCGTTTGAATTAATGAATCAATAACTCACTCATTTATACGGCCGCCTGCCGCCACCTATTGGCAGTTTAGTGTTATGTTTATAAGTAGCCTAGTATAATTCTTCCCAATATTTCTTATTTGCACATTTAAATCAATTTCATAACATTATTTTATGAAATTGTAATTTTTCAGTGTAAATGATTTAATTTCATCAGCCCTACCTAGGGTAACAGTATGCTTCATCTTTCATTTTAAATTCCTAAATTTGATCAATAAATTCAATTATTTAGAATAATAAGACACTATAGGGCATTTAATAATATTGGTCGAGGGGATGCCCTTAAAGGTGCAGATATTACAATTTGCCTTTTTAAATATCAAAGCTGATTGAACACTGATGAGAATATTGCTTCAGAATGAAAAATAAATAAATTTTAAAAATCCGGACAAGCAACTTTTTTACTCGGACAAGTGATTGACAGATTTACTTACTTGTCCGGAGGACAAGCACGTGAAAAGGCTTAAGGGGATAGTTCACTTTGAAATTAATTTTTCATATGTTTTAGCTTAACTCAAGGGCATCCAAGATGTAGGTGTCTTTGTTTCCACAGTAGTTTCAATTTTGATATTTTTAGGTTTGACTATCCCTTTAATGTCGAGCCCTGAATAATTTCCTACCCATCCCTTGCTGCCACTGAAAAAAAAAAAAAAAAAAAAAAAAAAAAAAAAAAAAAATCCCTACCGACCCATGACCTCAACTGACAACCAACCGGAACCAAACTTTTTTTTTTTTTAGGCCTTATTATGTGCCAGCTAATAGCGACATATGTATGGGATAATGTATGAGGCGGTTGTTGAAGGGGTTGTATTCGCTATACAACCGCCTCGCTATATATTATCCTGCTTATTGTACATATAAATCAACCAAATAAATAAATAAATAATTTGACACAAAATATTGACTTAAAAACGAGTTTATTGATTTAAAAAAAAGTATTGCTTCTGCTAAAGAAAATAGTCTGTTCAGTCTGTGAACTGCGTCCATGGCAACGGTGTGTTATAGCAACGCCGCAGTCTGTTAACCAGAAATAACAGACCACATTATACATTAGAACTCAACCAAGCCACGTAAAAACAAGCAAAACTAATCTAAGAAAACAACGACGCTATAAACATTGCTATGATGATGGCGATGCACGTAAATTCCCGACGACAGCGGAGGTGACTATGGTGTGGACTGGGAACGAGTGCTCCATCAGTTCTGGGAGATCGTGGTTCACGGAAACCCTTTGGTTGAAGCTTTTTTTTTTTTTTTTGCTTTGTCCACTTACATCTGTCTTTGTTGACATCCGCCATGTGTGCACAAACAGACTGGCCGGAAATGAACTCGTCTTCTGGCGTGTTGCAACCATAAAAGGGCATAAAACTTAATCACAATTCATTATTTATTTGGCAAATAACGTTTCCATCAGCTTCTATCACATTAGCCGTATATCGATCAAGAGAAAATCCGATGAGACGGAACGTATTTCATTTGAGTCGATTTTCATGAAATTTCATCGAATTTTACTGTTTCCAAAAGGCATTTTTCATTCAATATCACTTAATTCTGATAAAAAAGTGTCGATGGAAACATGGCTTATGACACGCCAATTCGTATTTCCATTTTTGGTGTGCTATATCAACACGCACAAGAAATTGGCGTGTATGTTTACGCAAAAGTCATGATGTCATGTCATGCGTCAACAGGTGACACAGATGATGATGACGATGAACAGGTGGGTAATTGAGGGAGTTAGTTCAGGTGTGGAGACAAGCAGGATTGTGGGAAGTGTAGTGAAGACGAAGACAGACTGGTGCAGACAATGACTGTGACAGTTATTCAAAGTTGGATCTCAAAAAGCCAAACAATACAAATTAGAGGAACTCTATCTATCTCTCCTGCATCCCCTTTGAAAATGTATCAGTTGTCCAAAAATTGGAATTGGCTGAACTGAACTTCAGAATTCTTTAGATAACTTGTATGTACAGCAAAGGGTGCTTTTGTTCGTTCAAGAAGGAGATTGATGGATGAGGGAGAACGCAATTCCAATGATTTTTTTAGGTTAGTGAAACAGCAATCATCTCAATTCTATAAATAGTTAAAATAAATGGAGTTGTTCTAAAAGATAATTAAAGACATTTGTAATTATTGTGAAGAATTTTATAAAAATCTTTATCAATATCTTGATGATATTGGCAAAGGTTTGTGTGAATCTCACATTCAAATTAAAGATATTTCTGAGGCGATCGATAAGCTGAAACCTAATAAATCTCCTGGAAATTATGGTTTTACCACAGAGTTTTATAAGAAATTCTCAAATATTTTTTCTCAATTTCTTCTCCAAGTGTATTTAGAAAGCCTACATAAGGGAACTCTCCCAAGCTCTATGACTCAGGGTGTTATAAATTTGATCCCAGCCTCAAAAGGACCCCCCTCAACTTGAAAATTGGCGACCTATAAGCTTGTTAAATAATGATTACAAAGTACTAGCCATAATTTTTGCTAAAATAATTACATTTTAGATAATATAATTGATGACTTTCAGTCAGGTTTTATGAAAGACAGACTTATTTCAAAAATATTAGACTTGTTCTTGATATTTTATATTACTCTGATATGATCCTTGATGACGGTTTCTTGTTTTTTTTTCTTGATTTTTATAAAGCTTTTGATTCCATTGAGTTTTCTTTTATTCTTAAATCTTTTAATATTTTTGGTTTTGGCCCCAACTTTATCAATGTAATTCAAACTTGCAATAATGCCAATGCTTCAATTAAATGACAGCATGGTAAAACTCATAGATTTAACATAGAGGCATACGTCAAGGCAGTATCATTTGTATCTTTTTCTGCTTCCTATGCAATTATTAGCCATCCACATTCAAAGTGTATTTGGACATTGAGTAATTTAAAAAAAGGTTTCTCTGTTGCAAACCAATCAATATTAAGCCAATTGGCTGATGACACAACTCTGTTTTTGAAAAATAAAGATTAAGTTTCAGTAGCTTTAAAATTAATTGATCTCTTTTCATTTCTTAATATTCACAAATGTGAACTTTTATCTAATAAACATTCCACTAATGTTAAAGTCTGTGATATTTCAGTCAAAACTGAAGTTAAAAACTTGGGTATAATTATATGTAAAAAGATCAGAAAAAAATCTTTTGGGAAAAATCTCCCAAGTGAAGACCAGGGTCAAAGTTCAATCAACAGTCGAACCGAATAGTCTAACCGGTTCAACTGGTGTACTGAAAGGTTCAAATAGAGATTCTATTCGTTCAAATTACTACAGCCTGAATGAGCATACCAAGCAGGATAAGAAGCCAATTTAAAAATGAGTCTGGGCAAAAAAACAACAACAAAAAAACAACTAAATATATAACTAAATATATATCAAAGCGTATGACCAACGGAAAAGCTAGAGATAGTTGATTAACCCAAGTAAAGACCAGGGTCAAACAAAGTTCGATCAACGTGATACGCCCACGCAACAATCTAAAATGTAACCTGACTTTTACAGCAGATAACGTGAAGCCATTACATTCAAATTCACCCATCAGCTATCCCACAGTAAGGAAAAAAAATATTTTCAATGAAATAAACAAGAATCATGTTTAGCCAACACATTCATAAATAATAAGTGCGAATGCAAATATCCTCCATTATTACACAGAATCGTCTCATGCACACCACATTTCGCTAAAGCAAAACTTGTTTACCAACTACACGAAAAGAAACGAGAGTGTGTCCTTTGTCAAGAGAATTTGTCATTGAAAACACTGTTTGTCTGTAGGCTACTATCTAGATATTAATCGTAGGCTATCATACCTTTGCACGTCCAGATAAGAGTTGTTTCTCTGCAACTGCAACTGCAAGAAGGATTCAGCAGACACTGTTGCTATTTATTTCAGCACAACAGTATAGCAGGCAAGCGATCAGACTACCAATAGCGTTATTACAACCGCAAGGGGGAGGTACCGCAAGTTTCCCCTTCCACAGTTATAGGATATGTTGAAATCAGTGCAAACACATGCTAAATGAATAGGGATGCAAGCTTTTGTGTGTTTTTATAAGGTTTTATAAGAATAAGACAGATTATAATAGCAGTAAAATGTAGCCTATAAGAATTTAAGGGCCAAATAAGGCTATAACTAACTTGACCTGACTATCTGTCTGGGCAGTGATTCAGACGTGGTAATTTAATAAGCCTTGGATGAGGGAATTATTGATTCTGTAGTATTTTAGTCAAATATTGCATATTATTGCATATTATGTGATAACATGAGATTTCCTGAGTGCAGAACACTGAAATTACCTAGTTATTTTTCTATATGTCTCCAATACTGCCATTATATGTAACTTTCTTTTGAGAAAATAGACTAAACAGCTTGTCTAAAATTATTGTAAAAAAATTATGTAAGTTAGTATACAGGCCTAATACCATAATACAAATATATTTGGTTAATAATTCTTGAGTAAAACTGTAACTGACATATTCTTATATTTTGTATTTGTATTTGTTTTTTAAGTTCACCTGAGTGATTACAAAGATTAAATCAAATAAGATGTTAACAATTAACAATGAGATGCTTTGGCCCGATACACTGTGAGGAGGATGGTTTCATTCTCCAAAACCGATGATCAGATGGCACCTGTGTAAGTACAACTTAGAATACATGGCATCATGGGCTCAATCTACTGTAAATCAAATCAAAAACGTAGAATTAAGGCATCAACACCAACACCTGTCAGGAAGCTTAAACTGGATCGTGGTTTGATCTTCCAGAGTGACATTGATCCAAAGCACACATCAAAATCAACATAAAAATGGTTCACTGACCACAAATCAAGGTTTTACCATGGTCTCCTGACCTGAATCCCATAAAACCTGTGTGGGTGAGCTTATGAGGAGAGTAAACACTTCTGGACCTTAGAATATGAAGCATCTGGAAAGTTCTGCACATGGAAATGGTCTCAGACCTAGGAGAAGATCCAGAACTGTAATTTTGCAGGGAAGCTGCACAAAGCATTAAATGAAAGAGTGCCAGATATAATGATAATTAACTGGATGCAATAACTAGATTAAGGTAAGGATTAGGGTGTGTTTTAGGTTTAGTTGCATGTTATTATAGTAATTTACCATAGTAACTACATGTAATGTGTAACAAGGTCACTGTAAAATGTTACAGAGATTAGATTTTTGTGACCCAATGGGTATAACAGCAAATACAGTTTTTTTCCATGGCCTGTTTTGGTAAAAATACCAAGGGTATTATTGAAGGGCAGTGTTTACTACAAATACAATCACATTTAAATCAGTGAGCAGATGATGCAGTGATGCAATGCACATTTCCAATTTAGATTATTTGAGCGATCTTGCATACAAAGTTATATAAGTTTATAAACGTATTACAGTAAGTATGTGTCCACTGCCAATAATAAATCTGTTTAATAGGCTACTAAAACCAGAGATCAGAGGTGTGTTTGCAAAAAGTAGAGCATTTATCTTCAGTGTGGCCCATGATTGGGAACAATACAGGGTTAATATATAAATGACTACTTAAAAAAAGAAATAAATGAAAACTTCATTAGTTACACTTTATTTTGATGGTCCCCTTAAGACATTCTCTTGACTATAAGTAGCCTAACATTGCACTTACAATTACCAGTCATTAAAGTATTAGAGTTAGACTGACTAATATCTGCTAACACTTTATTTTGATGGTTCCCAACGGACTCTGACTTTACAAGTATAACTTATTCTACTAACTCTAACCTTACCAGTCTACTAATACATACTAATAATACTATAATGAGAGTTAGTTGACATGTAATGAAAGTTGGTTGACATGGTGCATATATAATAACAATTGATTTAAGCACTGAATCCACTAGAATGTCGAGCATTTTCAGCATATTTTGAAATGCATGTGAAAAATGTCTCTGCTTTCAGTTCACCCAGCATTTTTGACCTCTCATAACCAAGAGCAGAGCCTTTACTCAGTCACTCACTCATTCCAGCACACAGACTTCACATACTTCACATTCTGCTTATTAAAGATAGTGGTGCATTTTTAGTATCAGATAGTAATAGAATGGTACTTAGTTGCGGTATTAAGCAATTATTGTATTTGTATACCATAATCAAATAAACCATAGTTCTAAGAACACATGTCATGTTACCATGCCAAAAGCCATGGTATTAATATATCATTCCAAAAAGCATATAAACACTAAAAACACCAGCATGCAGCACTTTCGCTATATAACACTTTAACTTATATACACTAAAATAAAAATGAAGACATTATTTTTATTAAAATACTTGCTGTTTTGTACAACAGCAATGTACAAATAGCAATGCCAATATATCAACATAGCTTATACATGACAAAAAATACAGCATAATTTAGAATACTATTCAAAATCCTATTTATTGCTATACTGCATATTTTACATAAAATGTTTAAGATTATATTTTACAAATGAATAAAGTGTGTCCTGTTTAATCCAGTTACCACTGGTCCTCAGTCAGCCTAAAATCATTATCATACTGAAGTTAATGATTGACAACTGAGATGTTTATTGACCCTTATTCCAGAGAAGGGAATGAATCAGCAAGAACTCAAGTAAAATTTCCTAATCCACAAACTCTTTCACTTTGAAACCCTTTTTAAGTGAGGTCAAAAATGAGGTTAAAATACTTGGACTACTATGTAGGCCGATCTGTTATTTGTGATGTAGACTACTATGTCATTTTCAGTAATTATTCTGAATATGGATTATATCACATACGTAGCGGTGGAATTATTGAAATGAAATATGTGCTGAGTTTAATAGAAGAAATTCAATATTGCTTTGAACTAGACAAGTACTGAACACCAAACAAAATTGTAACATAATACTCTTATGTTGTGTTTACCCTAAATAAAACCCATGTATTAACCTTTAGCCATCCCAATTTTTGTTTTTAGGTATCCCTATATGCAAGCCTTAAAGATGGGGAGAACGGGAATGCTCGTAAAAATTTAGAATACATTTTTAGAATACAATTAAAATTCTTAAAATGAGGGTGGAGAGAAAGGGTTGTAAAATGGGAGTTATTATAAAAAATCATTTATAAAATAAATGCACATTAAAAATTTAAACTGATGAGCATATAATGTGTCAAATCTACTTTCTTTTTCTATTTATGGAGGGATAAGTCTGAGGAAATCATACCACAACAAATAAATACAAGATTTTAAATAAAAGGTAAAATGGTGGGTATTCTGAAGGGTTTTAAACAAATGGCCTGGTATTATATGTTCTAAATTTTGCGCATGAAGAAGAGAGAACGTTTAAAAGATAAAACATCTGGAGGCGCTCTTACCACATGGGTATGACGAATTCATCTTGTGAAATACTGCCTCCTACTTTTCGTGGAAAGAAAATGCCCGATTTTGTTGTCTGGGCAACCAAAAACGCAACGCAAGGGAAAGGTCTCCTCGAACTGACTTATGCGAACGGGTTTACTCTCTCTGATCGATTTGTTGGTTTAGAGAGCTCTGAATTTAATTGATCGCTATTTACCGTTGGAGCAGCATGTCCTCATCTGCAACATCAGCACACAGTAAGACACATATTCATACATGGGTGATTCATTTCCGAGTAAGCAGTTTTCTTTGGTGGTTTGAGTGTTTTCAAAGGATAGTTCATCCCAAAATTTTAATTCTGTCATCATTTCCTCACCCTCAAGTTGTTCCCTGTATGAATTTATTTCCTCTGCAGAACACAAAAGAAGATATTTTGAAAAATAAGCCTAACCAAACAGTTGATGGGCCCAATTGAATTGATTTCCATATTAAGAAAATACAATGGAAGACTGAAGTCAAGTCATTGGGGCCTATCAACTGTTTGGTTATCCATATTCCTCAAAATATTTTCTATTGTGTTCAGAGGAAATAAATTCATACAGGTTTGGAAAATTCACGATGCCTGAATTTTCATTTTTGGATAAACTGTCCCTTTAAGCTGTCTTCAGTGCATCGAGTTGGGCATTATTACATGTCGTATGCAAATCAAGTCGGAAAATTAACACGAAAACCTTCAGTTATTTATATTTTACATTTATTTGTATATTATTTCAATCATTTTTTTATCCATATCTAACAAAAAAGTATAACTTAATTGGGCCATTCAGGCCTACTCTGAATTTGTAAATATGGTTTCCAGCTCTACTTAAAGGCTGCAAAATAGGTACTGTATAGGTCTATGGCCTATTTGCTCTGTATAAACCCATTATGTCAATGATATGTCCTTGTATGTATGAATGTGTGTATGTTTGTTTAATTTAGAAAGCAGCGATGATGTGAATCCTTTCAAAATCCCTGAACACAATGATCTTTTCCAGATGAGGGACAAAGAAAAAACTCAGAGGATGCTGGTTTGTATCATTTAATACATTGATTTTTAGCTTATACCCTTCAAAGAATAAAGCCAGCACCAAAAAGACATCAGGGTTGTATTACAAAAACAACCTAACTTTCAGCTAACAAAAATATGTTCTAAGAATATACTAACATTCCCATTCTGTTATGTCAAACATCCAGTAAAAAAAAAAATCATTTGCAAACATTTTGGGAACTTTATGTTTAGAAAACGGAAAACAAGACAAAAAAAAGTTCCAAGAACAATGTATAGACGTTTTTGTGTTACTGTTTTGAGAACATTAAAGACCAGATAACTTTGAACAAACATTACATTGATGTTTCTGGAAGAATGTTTGTTATCAACTTTGAGAAAACCTTGCCAGAACGCTAACCAAGTTTCTGTCAAGACCACTGTCGTCAAATACGATTGACAATTAGCATACAGTTTGGATTGGCGGCATGGTTCTGTTCTGGGAAAGAACTCTCTGTGCATCCATGCAGCCTAGCATGGATAAGAGCTGGGAGAGCAGCAATAACCCCCTTAGGTAATATAAATATTTGAATGTACATTATAATTCGAGAATTTAGTCTGATTCAAAGAAGAATCAGAATGCTAAATCCTGACTGGCCAAGAGGAGAATCTGGGGATGGAGGAGGGAATTGGCTCCTGAGAAAAGCGATAGCTGCTGATATTACTCATGGAGCTTATATATGGATGCTGTGATAGGCGTCATATTCATGGGTAGACGTGGATCAGCTGAGAGTCAGCTTGACTAACAAAGCTTGCCAGAACTGAGGTTAAGCTTTATTAATGAGAACATTCTCTCGGGGGTAAAAAGCTTTGAGATGGAAGGAAAATAGTTTTAGGACATGAGATGGAAGGCATCTCATGTTTTAGTTGTAAGCACTTGCTTGAAGTATTAAGCTGTGTGCTAGAAGTAAAAAATTGTGCACTCTGTCATTGCAGGTGCACCAAAGTAAGTTGGCTTTACCTGTCCATGAGAAGATGACATTTGCAGGCAGAACTAGTGCAAGGCAAGCCAGACTGAGGAAGGAACTGAAAGAAGGGGAGAGTAACACACACACTCATGGACAGCTCCAAATTACACCCGCATGGAGGGCATCTATCAAAGGTGAGCCACACCATACCACACCACGTCTGCATCAGACTTGTAAACCCACAGCAAGTTTCACCTAAAAATGTAACCCTACTGTTGCAAGCCAACTAAATGTAAATATAAGCCTACTAAAAAAGTGTTGTTATTCTCATTTTCTAAGACCCCAAAATTGGTAAAGGAAGCATTAATGAATATATCACTAAGAGACGAGAGCTGTTCTTACTTGAGGTAAGATGATGCTTTGTTTTTCTACTTCTCAGCACTAGCCAGGTAGACATTTGCTCACACTCTTTGTTTTATTCACTGTGTTTCTAACAGCCTTTCATTGTTTCTTCTCAACCTCTGTGTTTGGTTCTCTGTTTGTCCGTGTCTGATTGTTTTTGTATTCACGGTTTCTAATGTTTTTTTTGTTTTTTTTTAGTATTCTCTGGCAGTAAAGAAGGAAGAGATTCAGCTACTAGAGAAAATGGCTGCAGAAGAAGAGGGAAAATTGACAAGAGCTGAGAAGTTCTTGGAAGACGATGCCATTTTGTTTGAAGAATTTCTGAAAGAAAATGACAAGAATTCTGTGGAAGCTATCAAAATGTACCAGTCATACTAACGTGCACTTATGAAACATAAGTACTATCATTATAGCCCTGTTGATACCTTGAATTATAATGCTTGAAGTCAGAAACTCAATGTTTAAAAGATAAAAAAATGGCATATCAGATCCCAGACAGCAAACTGACATTGAATCAACGTGGAAACGACGTCTCTCATGACATTGAAACAACGTTGATTTGCTCATCGAATTAACGTTGAACCAACGTCAGACGCGGCATTCTTCAAAGCTAAATGAAATCGAAAATTGGTTTGCTTTCATAACGTTGAAACAACGCGTTGATTTCAAGTTGATTTTCCGTTAGTTTTGAAAGAATGACGCGTCTGACGTTGGTTCAACGTTAATTCGATGAGCAAAACAATGTCAGATCAACGTTGTTTCGATGTCATATTTCCACGTTGATTCAATGTCAGTTTGCTATCTGGGATGATTTCTTTTTTACATGGGCATGCATTAACACAGTCGAATATGTGGCCTAAATTTATGTCTAAAACCATGAAATACTGTTCAGTGCTGACCAGGAGACCAAGATGAAGCTGGAGAAAGTAGCTGAGATCAAGAAGACTACTTCCAAAATGGTGGCAATCAAGAGGTAGAAACAAATTGAGTGGTTAGATGCTTTCCAAAATATTAAATCATGTTTGTTTATCTGTTTTTCTCTGCTTACCCTTTTATTTTAGTGACATCTCTAAGTATGAGGACATCCTGAAAGAGTATAAAAAGTATAAAGAGTTTCTGCTGATGCTGTCACCCCCAGAGTGGCAAGAGAAACAGAGATCCAAAAGCAGGCACTCTACTGACTCCACCAATACTGAGAGTGATGGAAAGCAGACAGAGAGAATCAAGAAGAACAGAGAGAGAAAGACGGTCCCCCCAGACAGCAAGCGTACGCTGGCAACTTTTCAAAATGGCGTTTGTTTAAAATAAGAGTGCGGAGTATAAATTTCATAAACACTGTTTTTCTTTAAAACAAATGTACTCAAACACATATAGGTGAAGAAAGACGAGTGGCTCATGGTTTTTCATCCTCTCGGGAGGCCAGGGCTTCATCTAGACAAAGTGTGAAGTCCGGCCGTCAGAGCAGCAAAATGTATGTACAAACCATAGCATTGAGTGTAAAAATGCTTTGCGTGATTGCGTGACTCATTATTAATGCTTTGTTTTCACTTTAGATCTGCACCTGGGACTGACAGTTCGGATTGTGAGGTTAATATCCACTAACATTTACATTCAAGATTTTGAATTAAGCAGCCAATTCATTGGTCATTTACATTTTTCAAACTTTACATTCATATTTATAGTACTAAAGTGTAACAGATTTATGTTTTATGCCTAAACCTACAACCTGAAAATGAAGGGGTCAGGGTTTGGCTGGATATCATGGTTCTGTTTGCCTACCTACACCATCTGGCAGCAAAATGGAACTTTCTCCATTGATGGTCATTCAGGCAACATATAGACCTTATTCAGAGCAGCGCCATGACAGGTATGAAAGTGAGGCTGTGAGGGATAGACTTACCGTGTTTCCAATGGCATCCGCTGTAAAAAGCTGAATAAAGCGGCTAGATTGCTTCAAATTTTCCACAGCTTACATTGTCGGGAGTTTTTTGTCATCTGACATTTCTTGGAAAGATATTTTTCCAGTGTTTCATGAGCAGAACAATCCGAAAACACATTAAATAACAGTACAGCCCATTGAAGAGATGCAAGTCTATCCCTCACAGCCTCGCTTTCATTCTCATTGGAAATCAAAGATGGCGCTGCCGTGAATAAGGCGTATACAGGCTGTGTTGCTTTTTGATACTATTTAATTATAGTATAATAGATGTGTTTTAAGTGCCTGATATAAATGTGTGAAATTAACTTGTGAAAAGAATAATAGATGGGTCAACGATATAATGTTTATTAAATACATTTCTATGCTTTTTTTTAAATACATGCAGTTGACATATACTATAACTTGAATACACCTCTTATATAAAGAGAATGTTGAAGAAAGTAAGGGTCATCAAGAGAATGACATTCTTGAAAAGATAAATTACAATATTTTATTTATACAACAATATTTTAACAAATCACTGTTTGTTTCACACTTGACTGTGTGTCAATTTCAGCAAGTATTTTAAAATTTCACATGGAAAGGCAAGGTTAGTTCAGGTTGTAAAATGTCATGTTTTGTGACTTGTCCAAAAAATTTAACTTAACCAGCTGTGTACGAACGGGCAGTCATTCACAGCTAATTATTATAAAATGAACTCATACACAGCTAATATTTAAATTAAATGATATACAATGAGGAAAATAAGTATTTGAACACCCTGATATTTTGCAAGTTCTCCCACTTAGAAATCATGGTGGGGTCTGTAATTTTCATCGTAGGGGCATGTCCACTGTGAGAGACATAACCTAAAAAGAAATCCAGAAATCACAATGATTTTTTAACTATTTATTTGTATGATACAGCTGCAAATAAGTATTTGAACACCTGTCTATCAGCTAGAATTCTGACCCTCAAAGACCTGTTAAAATGTCCACCCCCACTCCATTTATCCTAAATGAGATGCACCTGTTTGAGGTTGTTAGCTGCATAAAGACACCTGTTCACCCCATACAATCAGTGAGAATCCAACTACTAACATGGCCAAGAGCAAATTGTACACCTCCACAAGGCTGGAAAGGGCTACAGGGAAATTGCCAAGCAGCTTGGTGAAAAAAGGTCCACTGTTGGAGCAATCATTAGAAAATAAAAGAAGCTAAACATGACTGTCAATCTCCCTCGGACTGGCGCTCCATGCAAGATCTCACCTCATGCGGTCTCAATGATCCTAAGAAAGGTGAGAAATCAGCCCAGAACTGGAGCTGGTCAACCTGAAAAGAGCTGGGACCACTGTTTCCAAGGTTACTGTTGGTAATACACGAAGACGTCATGGTTTGAAATCATCCATGACACAGAAGGTTCCACTGCTTAAACCAGCACATGTCAAGGACCGTCTGAAGTTTAATTTAAGGCTACTGTACCAAATATTAACATTGATATTCTCAGGTGGTCAAATACTTATTTGCAGCAGTATTATACAAATAAATAGTTAAAAAATCATACATTGTGATTACTGGATTGTTTTTTTTTTTATTATTATGTCTCTCACAGTGGACATGCACCTACGATGACAATTTCAGACCCCTCCATGATTTCCAAGTGAGAGAACTTGCAAAAAAGCAGGGTGTTCAAAATACTTATTTTCCTCACTGTAATGTAATGTAACTTAATGATATTTAAGAATGAATAATTCAAGATATTGGTGAAACATTGATTAAGATTACCACATTTTTAGAGTCATTATATTTTCTTAATGTATCCTCTGCTTAAATATTCTATATTCTCAAAAAAAAAAAAAAAAAATATATATTAATGTTTCTAAGAATTTTTTCCTGGCTACCAACAACAGTTAGAAAAGGACTGAGCTGTGAGTATTTTTGTGGTGCCATCAACCTATCAACGTTGTCCCGAGTGATTAGTCACATGGCATTTACAGTTCAGGAGATTGGCTCAAAACAGTACACCTGTGCAGCCAAGATGGCAGATTTCAAATCACGTTCTTTCAGGGGACTCCTGTACCATTCAAGCAACTGCCAATGACATGAATGGGAATGCTAACACATTCCTCCTTACCCTCCTTGTTTTAAATGACCACTTTATTGCCTCCAATAGGATGACCCAGAAATCTTCTTTAAAGATCCCCAGGATCTGTTGAATCTGATGACTGAGTTGGAAGAGCAGAACCTTTCACTCATCCAGAACACTAGAGAGACAGAAGAGACTTTGGAGGAGTTCAGACAAAATGCTGAACTGACTCGCAAAAACATGTGTGTACCCATGTGCCCATGTTAGAATTACACCAATATGTTTTTTATTTAATTATAACCGTAGATAAATATGTATATTTGTTTGTGTATATGCAGGGAGTCTGAGTCAAAGCAGCTAAAAGAGCAGATTGATTTCATGACTGACACTATTCAAAAGGAGAGAGAGAGACTTTCAGAGCTTGAACTGAAATCCAAACACTTCAGCTTTGGACCGTACAAGCCAGAGGACCAGGTATGATTTTTTTTTTTTTTTTGTGTGTGTGTTTGTTTTTGTGGGTTTCATATTTGTTTTCTGTTGTGCTACTTTGTTACTTTCTTGTAAGCTTCCTTGACAAACAGACTGCCTGTTTATTAAAACAATTAATCATCTTTCTGGGCTGACATAATATACAGTATTTTCCATTTTGAATTCTTAAAATTTCAGATGAATATACTATATACCTCCAAATTTAGTGCATCCAGTTCATGAATAATAAATAGATGAATGCAAACGAATGAATCCTTAAGCTTCTATTAATGTATATTTGCCTTTAAGAAGGCTCTAAAATGCAGTGCTACACCTTAAAGGAGAACTCCAGCGCAAAACGAACCTTTGGTCTAATAAAACAACGGTACCTAGTCAATCGTTCTCTGAGATTTGTTTTCATGATAATCGAATGTAAAGAGTTTAATCTCTAAAAACTATTTAGTGTATAATGCTAGCACTGGGGGCATTTACTAAGTAAAAAGAAATCGCTAGTTTATACTACTAACAAGGCTCAAAATAGCCCCACACTAACACAGTAACATAATGAGGGTCCATACATGCAAAAAGAAAGCATTGAGAACTTTGTTAGTGTACAGACCGTTTAATAAGAAGATACTTTATAAAGACCGTTCACTTTGTGTATACAGACAGGAGCCATCTTAGAAAATAGTTGAAGAAAACAAGCAGAAAAATACTTGATTTAACAATGACACAGAGTAGTGTTTTATATATTAATAAAATATTTATTAAAATCACACGAGCCGTGAAAAAATACCTGGATTGTAAAAACTTTCAGACACTTATATTAGGTGTTTTAGGAGTTGATAACTTCGGAGCGACTATCAATAGCAAGTTAGCGTTGAAAGTATGAGATCCCACCCTATACACACTATGGTCCATGAGGGAAAAATAGATTCAAACTTAAAATTGCAATCAAGCGAGAGCAAGATTTTACTTAAAGAATGTGCACAATTCCAATGGAATCTATGATAGTTTTTGACAAGACTGTTGATTTCAAAAGGGTTAACTAAAAAACACAAACACTAGCAATTATAGGCATTCAAGATGTCATCTTTACGACAATCATTTTCAAATGTAGGAAGGTTCTGTAAAATACTATAATATGCCATACACCCATCTACGAGACAGCAGTAGAACTGTAGAAGCAATATCACTTTTATTCGTGCTGTTCATCTCGAGTCAAAGATATTAAAGGGATACTCCACTTTGTTTGGAAATAGGCTCATTTTACAACTCTCCCAGAGTTAAACAGTTGAGTTTCACCGTTTTCGAATGATTTCAGCCGATTTCCTGATATTTAGAAGAATATCAGTAACCAGACAGTTTCTGGTCTCATTGACTTCCATAGTATATTTTTTTCCTACTATGGAAGTCAATGGACCAGAAACTGTCTGGTTACTGATTTTCTTCTAAATTTCAGAAAATCGTCTGAATGGATTCGGGAACGGTGAAACTAAACTGTTTAACTCTGGGGGAGATGTAAAATGAGCCTATTTCCAAAAAAGTGGAGTATCCCTTTAAAAATGTAATGTCTAGAATGTTTTTTCTTTTAAATTCTAAGACACAAGTACTACTCATTGATTCTAGAAATCTTTGCATTGATAAAATCTTTGCACTGGCTGCCACTTGCTGCTCGCATCAAGTTCAAAGTTCAAGCTCCCTCCTACTTCCACTCATTACTACAAGTCTACATTCCTAGCAGATGCCTACAATCAGTCAATGAGTGATGGCTCGTGGTACCATCACAGAGAGCCTCAAAATCACTTTCTAGAACAATCTCATTCACGGTACCATGCTGGTGGAATGATCTCCCCACCCTCATCCAGAATGCAGAATCCCTGTCAGCATTTAAAAGACAACTGAAAATTACCATAAAAAAATCCTTTTTTTTAAAAAATCCTTGCTTGTATGGCTTGTGCTACCCCGTGCAATGTCCGAACTTTGTATTTTGAGCACTTGCGTTGTTTTTGCCTCTTCACGATGACTCGCTTGGTTTAGTCCTCAGTTGTAAGTCGCTTTGGATAAAAGCGTCTGCTAAATGACTAAATGTAAATGATGAATCATTGGATAGTGACGACTTGTTTAAAACCATATCTAGTGACTTAAGAATACTTGTACCTTGCCTTCAGGACAAGACTCTCGACACACTGAGCCATAAGGTGGAGGAGGTGTATCACTGCTGTGTGGGGGAAACGGAGGCAAACCTGAACACTTTGCAGATGCTGACGGCCATTGAGGAAAAATTGGGCCAGCTTCTGGAAAATGCCGAAACGATTCCAAAAGACCAAATGAGTATAGCTGAACGTGCCAAAGAGAAAGAGAGAAGAATGAGGTGACCACATACACTGTCAAAAATGTTGTTTTGTTGTTGAGTTGTACTATTTCAATACCATTTCAGTTTTGTACTTCAATATTTCATGTTCAATTCAATGTTACTTTCCTACGGAGGCGTATTGCATTCACATGAAGGAAAAAAATCTACTCTGTTTTTCTGAATTAATGAGTTAATTTTTCATGAGAAAAAAATTGCTCTGTTTTTCTGAATTAATAAGTTAATTTTTCATGAGAATTTTTTTTTCTCTGTTTTTCTGAATTAATGAGTTAATTTTTCATGAGAAAAATTTTTTTTGCTCTGTTTTTTCTGAATTAACGAGTTAATTTTTCATGAGAAATTTTTTTTGCTCTGTTTTTCTGAATTAATGAGTTAATTTTTCATGAGAAAAAGAGTTTTCTCTGTTTTTCTGAATTAATGAGTTAATTTTTCATGAGAAAATATTTTTTTCTCTGTTTTTCTGAATTAATGAGTTAATTTTTCGTGAGAAAAAAAGTTTTTGCTCTATTTTTTCTGAATTAATGAGTTAATTTTTCGTGAGAAAAAAAGTTTTTGCTCTATTTTTTCTGAATTAACTCGTTAATTCAGAAAAACAGAGCAAAAAAAAAAAAATTCCATGAAAAATTAACTCGTTAATTCAGAAAAACAGAGCAAAAAAAAAATATATGAAAAATTAACTCATTAATTCAGAAAAACAGAGCAAAATATTTTTTTCTCATGAAAAATTAACTCATTAATTCAGAAAAACAGAGCAATTTTTTTTTCTCATGAAAAATTAACTCGTTAATTCAGAAAAACAGAGTAGATTTTTTTTTCTTCAAGTGAATGCAATACACCTCCGTACTTTCCGTTTCTTTGTAACAGTGAAATTTTCAAGTCATTTTTGAGTGGGAATTGTTTTAGGACCAATGTTTTGTCACTGTAAAATCATCTGTATCTAGTTCGTTTCTAAACTTCTTTTACTCTTTAGACTGCGTGATGAGAAGATACAGTTGCAGATTAAACAACAGGAGGAAAGACAGAAAAAAGCCTTGGCAAGATCGCAGAATGAGATTAAGAAAACGGTAAGAAAAAGAAAAGAGATTAAGTATTACTGCAACAAGTGTCATTTACCTTTTAGTCAAAGTATATCACAATTGTTTAATACTATTAAAGGGGTCATATTTATTTTCCCACAATTTTGTGACCATTTATCACCTCTCACACAAGAAAATCAGTTGTTTTTTTAATCGCTGCAGGTTACAGTCATGTACACATTTGCAACTCCCTCATCATTCAATCCCTCATTCAAAAAAATCAAGATTTACACATTTCAATTAATAGTAAAATTACTATTAATTTAAAGTTGATTTGAATAATCCTTACATATTTTCATATTATAAATTAAGAATTCTAAATGAGTAAAAAAAATAAATAGAACTTAGTATAATATTTTGTGCAAATCTTATTGGAAAAAGTGAATGGACTTAATTTGATTCGTATTCATAAATTCGAACTTTTTATTTTAAATGTTTAAAATTAAGTTTAAGATTTATTCAAAATGATCAAGTTCTATTTTTAATCCATAATATGAATATGTAAGGATTATTCCATTCAATTATTTCTATTAATTGAAATGTGTAAATCTTGAAAAAAGCTTAATTGTATTTTTGTACATTGTGACAGGATCACAAAACAATCTTTACCTTTTGTTTGGCATTCAGGAATAATATCTATTTCCTCACTGTAACAGTGTGGGTCAAGTTTCTGATTAATCAATTGACATCATAGACAACCTGTATGATGTCAAAGTCAGTGTAAGCAAAGGAGAATGAACAATTATTTTAATAGCGGTCACAATTTCCTTTTATCTCATGATATGACCTCTTTAAATGACTGACATTGCTTTTCAAACAAGTGAGAGTGAGAACATGCTTTCTGTATTCTTTTAGTCTGTTAAGAAGCTGATGCCACGCTCTCAGCCTCCTGTCCATAAACGTCAGACCAAAAAAAGTGCTGAAACCACGGACCGGGAGAACCAAGAGTTCCTGTATTTCTTTAGTTAAATCACATGTACGCAGATAGTCGAATTTGCATTACATTTACATACAACTTGCTGTAGATAGCATCAAGTTTATCGAGTATATAAAGGGTTTCCTAAACTAGGTTTAAATTTTGAAGTTTGAAAGAACATGAATATAAATGAACATGCAAAAGCTTGTGAGAACAAAGAATATGAAACTTGACAAATAGTTGCAGACTCAAACTAGTCCATTTTTATTTTAAATGTAAAATTGTATTAATCTGTTTTGAAGAAACCATAGCTAATAAATACAATTGCATCATTTTATAAAAAGTATTTTTTTGTTGTTGTTTTTGATTTGTTTTTAAACAGACATGGAACATAAGTGTATCTGAACTTAACAAAGCCATACAAAAATAGGCATCAAAACAACTTTGTTCCATAATGGTCAACCAGGCAAATAAGTTAAGGTGAAATTAGACTGACTTGATTAATTACATAAACAGTTAAATATTTCATAGACAAATAGTATTTATTCTGGTTAAGAGACAAATCAATGATGTTCACTGCAATACCATGTTTGTGTGCTCGCAAGTCATCAGATATAAAAACTAAATATTGAAAAAAAAAAAAAAAAAATCAGGCAGTTATCAAGTCAGTCACATGATCAAAATTAAAAAAAATTAAATGTGCTTTGTTTTTGGTCAAATTAGCTTTTGTATAAAGCACAATACTAGTTTGATATCCTTTTTTAAACATGAATGAAGGGATTTGCTTATTAAACTACACAATGATAAAACCAGTACTGAGGCACTGAGAAAATGTACAAGATCATCTAAGAAAGAGACAGCTCTTTATATGGCCCTTGAGTAGCACCTTCTGTTTCTAATATCACTCCAAATCTTGTAGGTTGATGGTGCTACCAGTGAACTGGGAGTTATCAGATCCATTTTCATCTTCAGCCATGACTGTGGGTTCCTACAAATGAGAAAATTTAGATTAGATTTACAGTTCATGTCCAAAATTTCCAAATTGCAATAAACAACAGGGTTATTTTATGGCACACAATCACGTAATGGAATATAATCCAGTTTTTTTTTCTTTTATCATCTGAACTGATCCTTAATAAGCCCACAAGACTTATTTTAAAATATTCTCATTTTATATATATATGAAGAGTTCAGATGCAAAAGCCTCTAAGTGCCATTTGAAATTTTCTTCTAGAATGATCATTTTTATCAAGCTTGTATATTTAAGTTCAGTGATTTCACTTAAATTGCAATGATAATTACCTATTAATTGTTATTTAAGTGAAATTACTGAACTTAAATATACAAGTTTGATAAAAAATCATCATTAAAGAAGAAAATTTCAAATGGCATTTTGAGGCTTTTGCATCTGAACTCTTCATATATATATATATATTTTTTTAGCAGCATAGAAACAGCAATGTCAACGACATGGAATGACATCTGCTAATGTCATTTATAAACTATAGTAGGCAATTAGCAGCTGGAACTGCTTTTTTTTCTCCCACTTCAAACTACTTTCTTATCTGAAAGGCAAATAATGTTGAAAATAAAATAAAAATAAACTACAACTACAAATAAAATAGAGGATACAAATGATGGAATGAATATGAGGCTTAGTAGTTGTATAAACCTGTAGGATGTTGACGGGCAGATCCACAGTGAGCTGAGAGTGTGAACATGAGGTCTGTGAACTCAACTGGAAAGCCAAGTCTCCATCAGCAGCAGGGTCATCCTATAACAAACACACTCAAATCAATGTACTGAACTGAAGTGAGAATGCTTCCAAATTCTTTCCCATGATCTCACCTGCAGCAGCTGAATCTGCACAAACTGTGTGCCCGACACCGGATCCCGGATGGGTAGCTCAGCATTTCCCGTAGCAGCTCCTCCTCCAAAATGAGCGCTTGAATTAGTCGACAGAGCAGAGCTGGTGCCCTTTGATCCTTTAGTCTTTCTCTGTCCGTTCTCTGAGGCACATGTGGAAGAGCCTGGACCTTTCTGTTTCCTCCTCTTGGCAAGCTGAATGGCCCTGTAGTCCGTGCGTGCTGATCCACTGCTCTCCTGATGCCAGAACAAAAAAAACAAAACAATGAACAATCAGACTTAATGGGTTAACTTGCTTAAAAATGACAGAAAAGAAACATTTAACCAAATAAAAGAGGCTTTCGCACTGAGAAGTTCTAGGAACTAGCCACCAGGGTGGTTCCGCAAGAACTAATGGTTCCCCTAAGAACATTTTCCTGGTTGCATTTGCACCGCCAGTAGGAACTCCGTAGTTACATAAGCGGCGCTTGTTGTTGTGACTTATTTTGACGCCACGCAACCAAATAACCCCTTCATTTTGACTGCGCTGAGAACGCCAGAGCTTGAGCTCATGCTCGCATTCTCCGTGTACTTTAGTTTACGATCAGTCCTATCTAATACGTTATTAGATAGAATAGTTATACATAGAAAGTCGACAGTATATGAAAATGCATTCGCTATTGCAGTCTGGTTGATGTCCAGTGTTGCTTGCTGAACAGAAATACAAAATCGTGTTTGGCTTGGTCCCTTCAAGTTGCAAAGGATTTTCTCCCCAGCATAAACGTTTTCCATGTTTGTAGAGTTAGTTAATATATAGGATATAATCTGAGAGTTTACACCACTTTAAAAAAATGGCGGGTGTTTCGCGTGCATTTGGCCAATAAACGTACACTAGAGACTATAGAGGGAATGCGCGTGACGTCACCGTTGACCGGAGTGAACACAAACACAAAACACACAAATAAAGTGGGAAAGAGCTTTGCGATTGACTGTAGGCCTACAACTAGATTTGACAAAACATCGGAGGTATATTTTTACAGACTGCTATGGAAAAAGGAGCAAATGGATCGCTGCAATTCACAGAAACAACTGGACTCCAGTCAGCGAAAGGTGGATTTGCAGTTATCATTTTGTGTCAATATGCTGAATTTAGCTGTAAAACCATACCCATATATTTTGTATTGTTACATACATTAACAGCTCATCAATTAAATATTTGTCATTGCATATTCTGCATTATTGGATATTTTTTTTAATAAACACTGACCAAAAAAACTTATAAAGTTTTAGGGCTGGATGATATGAGATATATATATATATATATATAGGCTATATATATATATATATATATAACACTGATATAATTGATCACCTGGATTTAGACCTACCTATATTATATTTATATAAAGCGTTCACAAGCAAATTTGCTTTATGTTTAGGTTTTGCTTTTATTTCCCCGGTGTCGAAATCAGGCAAACATAAATGTCAGGCAACACGATTCCTGGCTGCATGTCAATATCCATGGATCACTGGATCTTTAGTAAGTTGTAAGGAACACTATATTGAGTCCAACATTTAATTTAAATTGATAAAATTGTTCGATTTAGTCGCATTTCCGCAGTTTTCCCCTATTAAATCCAGTCACGCAGCAGATCTTTTGCCACTCGGTCAGGCTGAGGGGGGTTGTCACGTGTCTATGCATTCCCTCTATTTATATAGAGACATACCACTTCCTCAATCCTTAAATACAAATGTATAGGGAAAACCCGTAACACCAAAGATGGCGGTTGTATGCAAATGCCCCGCCCCTCCCGCTGGACAGCCAATCGTCTGCTTTTAACGGTCAAGCCGGGAAACATTTAAATACGTAACTGTTTGAAACCGGGTGTCTCCCGCAGATTGATAGAGGCTCGCTGATGCCGGCAAATTAGTTCAAATCTCCCGGAATCTAGAGTGAGCGAGCAAGAGCGGGCATTTCAAACTGTGCAGCACGCGCGCGAGAGAGAGCGAGAAAAACTCTTGCGCATGCACAGTAAAAGTATAACCTGTGGGAAAACAGCATTTTAAACCTTATTTTAGTGCAAAGTCAAACTTTTCAGCAATTTTTATTATATTTTACTTTTATGTCTCGGTGATAGGCATGTGCCGGTATCAAATTTTCATGCTGCGGTTAATTGATTGAGCTTTTATCACAGTATACGGTATTATCACGATATTTTAATGAAATTATATTTTAATACTCAAGAAAAACAGATGCACTGTGGGTCTCTAAAAAAACCTCAACTTGTATCACAATGTGTAATTGTGATTTTCAAAACATATGGTAACTAAACCAAATTGTTTAAAGTTTAGTGACACATGCTACAATGACTGGTAGGTTACTGTTTGTATTATTCAATTAAATTATTGGATTTGATTTCAGTCTTAATTCAATATTGACTCATTTGGATAAATATTAGGTATGCCCCAGTCTGTTAATGTTTCTCAAGAAAAAAAAAAAAAAAAAAAAAAAAAACTCACATAATGCTGTAAACATACAGAGAGAAATGAAATATATTATTTAGCAAAATACTCCTTGCTATTTTTTTTCTAGTCAGCTAATTTGCTGGTCATTAAATGGCTTTCCTGAGGTAAATGTAACGTTTTGTGACACTACTGTTCTCCTGCAGTGTTACTGACTTCTTTCCGTGTTTGAAAACACTGATTGATCGTTATTATGTACAAGTAAATATACCTTTCGGTAAGTTGTACTGTATCTTTAAATAAAAACGAAAGTAATATGATGATTCGGTTTACTTGAACTTAGGAGCAACGATCTGTGATCAGAACCTAAGAGCTGATTTATCAACTTCAATTTATCAATAACAACTTTCATATCAAAAGTAACCTGCTCTGTCTAGTCCGTGTGTCCGTGTCCTCTTTGCTCTGTGATTTTTCTCTGTGGGAGAGCGTGTGAAAAGTGTCAAATGCGTTAAGCGCCTTTCAGACAGGACACGGAATGCGCGACGCTGGCCGCTTGGTTCAACGTTGCCCTTCAGATACAACGCGATTTGCCATTTTACAAATAAAAAGTTGAACTATTTTGAACTTTAACACCGGCGTGGTCGATGCAGGTCGACGCAGCAACAAAACACCCCTATTCCGCGTATTCCGCGTCCTGTCTGAAAGTCTCAAGCTTGAGTCTCAAACTGAATGTCTGAGAGTTGGCAGCCCTGCGGGGATAAATCGTCGGGAGCGTTCCGCCATGCTTCTACTCCATGTGAGGATTGTTTACATTAGACTAGTGCATTGTCGCATGCACACAGTGCTTACATGTGGGGATTGTTTACATCAGAGTGTGCGCGTGTTTTGCGCAGCACGCAGTGTTTGAGCGGTTGAAGGAAAATAAGCAGCTAATGCGCGCTCTAAAAGTCTAAATTCGAATCTATTATTTTTCACGGTATTTTGAAGAGCCCGCGATAACAATATCGTGCATATTCATTACCGCGATTTATCGCATTACCGAATATCGCCACGTCTACTCGGTGACCAGTGAAAGTGCAGTTCTGACTCTCTGCCCATTCATTTAGATAGGAACCTGGTCTTGTTAAGTCCGAAATAGCTGCCCGGAGGCGTTGCCAAGATGGCGGCGAGTGGCATGACTTGCCTGAAAGGACTTTGACGTACACTAACGTCACTGGTAGTTCCTGCTGGTTTAGACCCTACTCTGAAGTAGGAGTAAATTAGTTCCTCCAAAAGGAGTTCTAGGAACTATGAAAAGTTTTCAGTAACGCTTACTTTTACAGTACAGTACTTACATGTACT